GATGGAGCCGCTTGTTCATCTCTAAAAATAATGAAATCTAGACAAAGTCTTGCCAAGTCTCCTTGACCTTACTGCGATTTTTTTATTATTATATTAATGTTGTGTGAATTAGCCGTTGAACCACTACCTATTGAATATGGAAAATTGGCCTTGTATACCCTTCAACGGCCAAGTCACACAACATTAACTATAATTATAAAGAAATCGCAGTAAAGAACCTTAGACTTAGCAAGAGTTTGTTTACATTTCATTACTTTTTAGAGATGAACAAGCGGCTTCATTGAGACTTGTCTAGTTTATTACAGAATGTTTTTGGTTGGATTTCACTTCATTTTATAGAAACTTGACTACCATATCTCTAATACCGCTGAGACCTGCTGTTGGTTCTTCATCAGATTCTTCAGACTTTCTATTTTTGACATCAAATGAAACGGCCCATCAAGTTTAATATTTTTTGTAAAAGTAGTATACTACAGTCATGACCTCTTCATTATTCATCTCTAACTGTTTGGTTGGGCTCTTGCGATTTCTAACCACGGTTACGAGGTACTCTTTCAAGTCAACTACTAACAATTTTTTATTTTTCATATTTTATTATTAACCCATTTATCAATAAATATTGAGATAATATATTATTTAATTAAATTAATGAGCTTGTTAATTAAGCATTTGTTTTGAAAACTTAAGAAAGAATTATTATTCTATTAATTTATACTAAAAAAAAATTAAATTATAATAATAAAATCTTAAACCCTAAAAAAAATAATAAAAAATTTAAAGAAATTGGTAAATATCTTTTTCAAGCTAAATATATTAATTTATCATAACGATAACGTGGTAATGTACCACGAACTCAAACAAATAAAAAAGAAATAAATAATAACTTCAAATAAAACATAATTCTTAATCTAAACCCCCCTATATATATTAAAACAAATAATAATCTTATAAATAAAATTCTAGAGTATTCAGCTAAAAAAATTAAAGCAAATCCTCCTCTTCTATATTCAATCTTTAATATTATTATTGGAGCTATTGGAGGTTTAAATCAAACATCATTACGAAAATTAATGGCATTTTCTTCTATTAATAATTTAGGTTGAATAATTAAGTCAGTCAGGTTTCTGCCGTCTAATTATATTTTTTACTTATAAAAATCTATAACATTCAATAGATCCAAATAAAGGTTAGCATTACTTAACAGTTCTATGTTGAGTCTAGACGTAAAACGTCTAGACTCAAAATTTGTCTTAGAAAGATACTTAGCATCGCCTACTTCAGTGTGTTTGACAATGTAATGCTATTATCGACAGTGGTAACCATTTTTCTAAAAAGAACTAAACTGTTGGCGTATATCAAATGGTGTTTAAGGCAACAAGTACCTGGACATGATGGATTTAAAATCTTTCCATCTCTCTGAACTCCATTCCTACTGAAATATGCTTTTCCTTAATCTTTTCAACGTTCCTGTTTAATATCTTTCCACTCATCACAATGACGGTGACGTCTTCTTGCAACTCTAACAGACAGTGTATTTTTAAAAATCTAGACAAAGTCATCTTGTTCAGACAGAAGAGTCTTGACTTGAAGTGTTACTGAACTGTGGTGTGTTGGGTCTACTAATACTTCTACAAAAATTATCAGCATAATAAATAGATGATAAATAGTAGAGACGAAATGGATATTAAAAATCGTTATTTGGGGAGAGCATGATTGGTATTATGTCCAGTGAAAGTTCTATTATATCAGTTGATTCGTGCAAAAATGCTTCAACAAATGACTCTGAATCCTTAAGTGATGTAGGACTTTCATTATGTATAGGAGATAAAATTGAGGGTAACATTGCGTCGGAATCATTTATTACCTCGGTAACACTTGGTATAAAACTATACTTAGTCGATGCTTATCGTACTTTAAATAAAAAATTGTCCGAACATTGTCTTCCAACACACTGGTTCGCCTTCAATCGGTATCGGCGATTCTAAAATTGCAAGTTTTCAATTAGTCAAAGAGCACACACAAGTGACAAATACAAATTTAGAGAGTTATACCAACAATTAACATAAATCAAACATAATATTTTATTTCCCAAAGCGATAGACAGAGTTCAGAGAAATTAGAGATAGAAGAACATTATAGTACATATTCCGCGTCATGAGAATTTCGAAATTGAAAAATCCGATAATCGGGGATCGATACCGATACCTCGTGGCCTGCAGTCATACTCGTGGCCACTAGACCAACGAAGCAGTTAAAAAGTTTATTTTTAATGAGGTTTTAACTATATTTTGTAAAGCAGATAATCGTATCTTGTTTTTTTAACGGAGCATAAAGCCGTAAGTCTATGATACGTCTTTGTACGTTTATTTATTGTTATATTTAAACATCGCATATGGTTGTAAGTTTAAGTTACGACTCCTAGAACAAAATGATTCTGAGGCATAAAGTCGTAACTGACCACTGTTAATGTTTGATTACAGCGCATGTAGTCGTAAGTTATGACGTTTCGACGTTATGCGTCGGAATAGTCATATTTTTTTTTTATTTGCTGAGACCTATTTAACACTGTCAAATATTAACTATTAATTTCGTAATGCACGTATAAACTAGTAAAATAAATATATTAAATGACAAATTAGTACAACTTACCATTTCGAAAATTTTCATCGACCGTTATTTCACAATTTTGGTTTATTTCTTCATTTGACACGAGATTCATAATCTTGGAAGCATGTACGCTACTCATTTTATTATAAATATTACTAGTCCTCCTAAAACTACATCAACAATAACACAAAAATCGACAGTTTTATTCTAAAAAGCAAACTTTTCCACTGCTGACATACGACGTAACGTTGAGGTCGGTACTCTGCTCTGATTGGCCGGCCGGGCCTAATAGATCCGAGCATATCGTCGGAACAATCCTTGCGACTTTATGCGCGGGAGCGTTTATATGTTACGACCATTTTCCATTAGAAAAGTCGTGTTCCATATAAGATATTGAAATTTGGATTTTAGTAAATCATGCTACTGTTCAAGATTGTTGTAATAGGCCAAAAAAACAATTTTTGTCAAAAATGATGTTCCGACCTTCTGCGTGGGCGCCATCGAAATGGACACGATTATAATTATGAATCTAATTTAATAATATATGATCATACTACTATCATACTGGTAATCCCCTAATGAATAAATGCCTAAATTGAAATGAAAGAATACATACATGACAAGGTTCTCTGAAAAACATGAATCTTAAATTGCAATTATCACCAACCCGCCTGGCCACCGCGGAGATTATGCAAGCCTAATGAAAGGGAGACCCATAGTCTAGAAGTGGACTGTCTTAATGTGTTGTGTTCATGAATATTATATTTACGAATTTATTGGAATGACTAGCTGTTGTCCGCGACTTCATCCGCATGGATAAGTGATTCACAGCTCCTCCTCCGTAGATAATAGCGTGATAATATGTAGCCTAGCATAGAAGTTAATATGATATATGTATCTGTCAACAATTCAACAATCACTCAGTACCGGCAACTTATTTTAGTCATATCGATACACAACGGAAATGATTGAAGAATTTATTGAATATCTGATACCCTACACTGTGTCAACTAAATTCTTACAACAACGAAATTCTTGAAGAAGGAGTAACCATCCATCCGTTCATACTCAGACATACACACGTAACTTGACAACTGACTCCCATGGGAGTAGGCAGAGACTATAGAACGCCAATTGGAACGATTACTACATACCTCTCTCGCTTCATCAACAATCATCAGTCTTTTCATGCATGCTAGTCGATTAAACTGTCAAACACCAAGCGGTCACCGGTGACCGCAACCTATTGTTCTATAATTGTGTCTATAATGACGGTACTCAACGAGTTAAGGATACTTTTAATCCACCCATCCGTTCATTCATAAAAAACTGTCGTGGTTAGTTATAAACTGTAAAACTAAACAGAAAGATGGTGAATCAGATGGTGAATCAATCGTTCACATACCTACCTTTTATCAGCCAACACAATATCAGAAACATATCTATCCAAAGACATGACATAGATAATTTGTACACGAATTCAATCCTTTAATATTTATTTACGAGGCGATTGAATCCAATAATATAAGTACAATATAGTAATCTGATACCAAAGCAGGCTAATCGTTCATCCAAGGGGTAGATAATGATAAAAGTTTGCTTGTAGGATACACATTTCACTAATTAATTATAGATAGATGTTTTAATTTTTATTATCTTCCAAATGAGATAACTTTCGTACTTGTAGAGACCACGAAACGGTAAATGAAGTCGTAAAAATATAAAAAAAAATGTAATAAATCGCATTCAGAGTAATAAGGACTATAAGGACTTGTTATCAAACATATAGCAAATACAGAAACAATGACACAGGAGAAAATCGTACTGTGGGGCAACGTTAAGCAAAAAATTAAAACATCGACACCCTGAAGTTCAGAACCAGATGGTTAATACTTAATTAAAATTAAAACCTGATCTAATTTAGGTATCGTGTCCAAAATGCTTCCGATTATTTGAACAATAAATTTAACACAAATACAATACTCAGTAAATGTATAACATGGGAAACTATCAAACAAAACTTGGTCACGTAGTATACAAGCATGTTTATGAAAATGGATAGCGTAGTTAACATGTAAACTATACTATCGTTAACAGTTATTTTGCAGTTTTACAACTAAACAAATTAGAGTTTATTTTAGAACCATAATCTAGTGAAATTAAGTAATGGTATTGTAGTTAAGTTTGTGGCACATATCTTCAATGTTCAATAGTTCGCCAATAATCAAAATTACGAATGTATTACAAAAATAATAAAACCTATCACCCAAGCAGGTATCGTACTTTATCTATGCTATAAGAAAGTTGTTTGCGTTCTTTATCTTCGTCGGTGGTCGCACCGTGTCGTCTTATCTAATTCACATTTTATAATGTATACTCTGTTTGTATTCCAGATGCCGATGCCCCCAAAACCATTTCCTGGAGTGTTTCGAGCCACCGACAGCAACATATTTTGCGCCCAACCCTCCTCCCGAGGCCTCATTGGAACCGAAGACTGCCTGACATTGAGCATCTTCACAAGAAATGTCACTTCACCAAAACCAGTCGTCGTCTTCCTCAACTCTGATGAGTACACCAATACAAACAACCAACCCATGTCCTACAGAAGATTTGTGGAACAAAATATTGTTTTCGTGACTATGAATTTCCGATTGTCCATTTTCGGATTTCTTTGTCTCGGCGTCCAAGAAGCACCTGGTAACGCAGGCTTAAAAGACGTACTTCAAGGACTCAAATGGATTAAATCAAACATTGCGAACTTTGGAGGAGACCCAAATAATGTTATTCTAATGGGGCATGCGTCTGGTGGTGCGCTGGTCGATCTCCTCACGCTGTCTCCTCAAATTGAGAATCTAGCGCATAAAGCTATAGTACTCAGTGGTTCTGCGTTAGCTCCATGGGCTGTAGGTTACGATCCTGTTGGATACGCCAATCTATTGGGAACAAAACTTGAGTACGACCACAAAACTCCCGAAGTATTAGCACAACGTCTAATCAATACGGACATTAATGTTTTACACACTGCATTGAATGACTTCAAGTTCTTTAATAACACGCCATTGTTCGCTCCTTGTGTGGAGAATCCGAAACTTAGTCCAAACCACACAGTTCTTGGTGACGCTCCTATCAACATCCTGAGATCAGGTAAATACGTTCAGATTCCCGTTATTTACGGTTACACCAACAGGGAAGGAACTATGAGGGCTGAAGAGGCTGACTTTGGAAATTGGTTGACTTTAATGCAAACCAACTTTACCAGTTTTCTGCAGGTTGATTTAAAACTAGCCAATAACAAAACTGCCGTGGCAGCATCCATCCGTGACTTCTACTTTGGAAGCAGTGCAATCAGTATGGGAACTATTGAAGACTTTTTGGATTATCAAGGAGACACGCTAGTCCTCGTCTCTACCATCAGAGTAGCTAAGGAAAGAGCTCTAACTTCTAAGAGCGAAGTGAGATTAATGGAATTTGCTTATCTGGGAACCCTAAACTCCAATTGGATTCACAACCAGATTCCTCTGAGTGGGGCAGCGCATGGAGCCTTCCTAAATTATTTGTTCGGGTATGACCTACGTCCTGCTGATGAAGCAGTCAGCAGGGCACTCGTTGGACGTGTGTCAGCCTTTGCTTACAATTGGTAAGACATTTCTTCTTTGTTTTAATAGATAGTTCAATTCCTACCAATAATAATGAAGTCTTTTAAAATTTTACTTACGTATTCTACTTTATTTATGTTTAAGTCTACTTTAACTCGTCGAGTACCGGTTTTGTAGACACAATTATAGAACAATAGGTTGCGGTCACCGGTGACCGCTTGGTGTTTGACAGTTTAAAAGATATAAAATATCTCCTAGATAGATTCTAAGCAAAATTTAAACTACTTATAAATTTTTTTCAGGTCAAACAATACATGGGCAGCCGTTACAAAAGACTCCACAAATTACCTCTACTACGGTGGTAATGGGGCTCCAACGGCCAACAACACTTCTATCTACGTGGAGGAACCCAGGTTCAACCCCCATGTCCAGCGCATGTCCTTCTGGAACAACCTTTATGAGAAGTTCTATGTTGCTCCTACGCAGCCTAGTTCCTCAAATATTATTGTCAGTTCTTTATTATTTATTATGCTCTGTCAGATGGTATTGCGTTTGTATTAAGTTAGAGTATTGCCAATGTTAAAAAATCGACTGTCATATTTTTTGTAAATGTGAGAAAATTAGACTTTTTGTTCAGGTCCGTGTACAAAGTGTTATTTGTTCATTGCAAACCATTAACATTGGAGTCAACAAAGTTATGAAGTAAATTTATAGATATCATGGTATTAGGTATGTGAGTGATGTATTCATGATGCAAAAAAATAATCACTAGTTTTCCATATTTTTGCTTATTTGAACAAAGAACTACATTTTCAGACATCATCACTTCTGTAAAAACTTATTTTATTGTATTTACATGCCAATGCAGCTAACACGAAGGTCAGGTCAGGTCAAGGTCTGTCTTTGATTTATCGACAAATAGTTGTCACAAGTATTTTTGTCGCCATATTTAATTAAGTAAATTAGGTTCTAAGTCAATCTTTAATTAAGGAAAGTGATTGAAAGTGTGTACGAAGTGGACATATTGAAATAAACGTAAATTATATTGAAATAAGAACCAATATCGTAAATAAAATATCTGTCTAAGTATTGCAATAAAAAAAGAAAGAGTATATAATCACATTTATTTTGTTAAAGTAGAAAAGATTAAACTTATAAACTTCATCATTTAACCGCTTTATTGATTGAAATTTCAGAGTCAAATGTGTGTGTCAGTTAGTAAATGTCGACCTCATCGTTCGCTTGATAAAATTGACGTGTAAAAGTGCTGCCTTGTAGCCTATTTGCAGAAATAAATTCACTTGTTTCACTTGTGTATAAGGGTCTTTTTTCAAAATACCGTAGAGACTGAAATTAGACTCGATATTAGTCCTATTAAAATGAGATTTAATAACATCACTTGTAAAAATGTAACGTAAGTAGGTACTATGTTTATATTATTAACGAATAAGTTATTATTACGCAATGTATGGAATGACTCCAAGTCAAGTCAAGAGTGATGTGGCTAAGAGCTATATTCATAGATATAATAAAGAATAACTGTTTTATATATTTGACTCGTTGACCGAGTGGTCGCAAATGCGACTCGGCAAGGGGTCTCGGGTTCGATTTCCGGGTCAGGCAACATATTACTGGGTTTTTAAAAATCTCAGTAGTAGCACGGAGTCTGGAAATGTGCCCGGTATATGGCAATAGGCTCACCCCGTATTACACTCATAACATAAGTATTAAAAAGTGGGTGTTACATTGTACAGTGGTATTAAGTGCCGAAATGTGCACTTCTGTCTACCCCTTCGGGGATAAAAAGGCGTGATGTTATGTTATGTTTTAAATATTTCTGTGGCTATCAATATACCGGGACACTATGGCGGCGCAAACAATCGCTGCTACCAACAAAATGTATACAGCCCTAAGAATACTTATATAGTCGCGTAGAACCTAACGGGTAACCGGGGCTCCGGCTCGACGTGCAGGAGAAGGAACGGGGTGGTTTTTAGTCAGTAAGAGTCTGACACTCCCTCCCGCCTCACCCAGGCGGGAGCAGTCATTCGATGATTTTCCCCCCTTAAAAAAAAAAAAAAAGAATACTTACATAGCCCTTAGATGGATATTATACAAAAGGTATTCGGTTTTACAAGCAAAACCTGTTCGTATTAATAATTTAAAATGATTTTTGTCTTTACTACTAAGGTAATTATTTTCGCAGTATAGCTATGTAATGTACCTAACTATACTATTAAGTAGATACTATTGCTTAGAATAAACAGCTACAGTAACTATGAATTACTATTATATATAGATTTGCAACACAATTGTAATTTATTTTTACTAGATTATGAATTAAAGTAGGATTTCAAAGATTTCTAGTATACGAATTGGCACTTGTAGAGACTAGACATACAACGAAATCATATAGGGACCTTTTTATCTTATATCTTATACTTGTTTGTTTGAACGCGCTAATCTCCGTAACTACAAGTCTGATTTGAATAATTCTTTTTGTGTTGGATAACGCATTTATCGGGGATGGCTATAGGCTATAAAATATCACGCTACGACCAATAGGAGCTGAGCGAGCGTGTAAAACCGCGCGTAAGTAGCTATTTTAAACTATAAAGCTAAAGACTTTGTTTGAACGCGCTGATCTCAGAAACTACTTGTCCGATTTGGAAAATTATTTTTGTGTTGGATAGCCCATTTGTCGAAGAAGGCAATAGGCTATAAAACATCACGCTACGATCAATAGGAGCAGAGCAGAGCGGGACACCGCGCGGTAGCCGGTAGTTACATAATAAATTTTGTAGGCAATTGATTTACACACAAGTATTGTAGACAATTAATAATTATCATCATCATCTGCTGCAGACTGGATGCTATCAAAGGCCTTTTTCTTATAAGAAGGTTTGCCATAATCCCCATGCTTGTCAGGTGACCTGGGGATTGTATCCTTCTACCTGTTTCTCGATGATTAGCCGCTATTTTAATGTGGTGAATGTAACTATTTGAAATGAAATATGAAAAAAGCATTTTTGTGATACTTGAGCTATTATAACAATTTACTTTTGTAACAACAAATTACAACAATGCACGAGCGCGCGAATCATGGCAACGTCTACACGTCATGCGGGGCGTGGCCTCCCCGCAAGCAGCTACTCCACCGGCTCCACCGCGCGCCGGCCGGCGCGGCGCCTATAAAACACGACGCCCGGCGTGTGCGCAGCCAGAGTTCTCTGCGCTCTCAGTCTGCTTCAACCTCCCTGGTAGGACAGCTCTGAGAACCAGTGTTACGCTACTCATAGCACACGTACGGGGTCCCGCTCCCTGTACTGGACTATATCTCGTTTACTGTAGCCTAATAATAAACTACGTGTCTTAATTAAATTGTGTGTTTGTTCGTACAAACCTGCTACAATCTGGCGCTCAACGTGTGGCCAAACCCAGGCATCAAGATTGAAAATTTACGTCGACTTCCGCATCGTGACATCAAGATGGCTATGACAAATGAGCAGTTCCAACAACTCCTGTGTACCATCACGTCCGATAGACGGGGAACTTTCGCATCCTGTACTTTCACGTACGACGGCAAAAAGAACTCGAACGCAGTGGAAGCTTTCCTAGCCGCAGCCACCGTTTATAAGTCAACGGAAAAAATAAGTGATACGGACGCACTGCAAAGTCTCCCACTATTACTACGAGATGAGGCAGCAGTGTGGTGGCAGGGAGTGAAGACTGGTGTGACGCAGTGGGAAGACTTCTGTACAAAGCTCCGCCACACGTTCGCCCCGAAAAAACCTGCATTCATGGTATACTATCAAATTACACATGATGCTCAGGAAGCGAACGTTACAACGGAAGCGTTTATCGCGAGGAAAAGATCCCTGTTCTCGTTGGCTCCTCCTCCAGCATTCACGGAATCCCAACAGATTGATCTAATCTTCCCTCTCATCCGACTGGACATCAGAAACCGCATGCCACGGGACACAGTACCCACTTTTGATAAACTCCTGGAGACGGCACGAGGCATTGAAGAGACCTTACACGAGTACGCAGCGAGTTCAGAGACAAATGAAAACAGGAACGCTCCGGGGAAGAAAGGGAAACTTAGATGCACCTTCTGCAAAAACCCGGGACACACGGTGGACGTCTGCCGCAAGAAGAAGCGGGCTGAAGGCACTCTTCCGTCTACCTCGAAAGATGTGGTAGAGAGTCAAACCCAGGCACCGTCCCCTTCCCAGCCGAAGTTCTCCTGCTATGGGTGTGGTGCACCTGGAGTTTACAGAAGTAATTGTACTACGTGCAAGAAAAGCCCGTCTACAATCAAGAAAGAAAACGTTGGTTTCTGCGCTCTTGATGCTTGTGAAGAAACACACTCACGACCTGTGGTGTTCCTGGAGGTGGAGGGGATAACGGGAACGGCATTCATGGATACATGCGCCAAGATGAGTGTCGCATCTTACAGCCTGTACCAGTCTCTGCTGAAGAGTGGTTGCAAGTTCATCAAGAAAACTGTAACTCTCACATTGGCCGATGGCATCAAAAAGGAACAGGTTGTGCTTGTGTGCAGAGCGATGGTAGACCTGAATGGTCGCAAAATATCTACCAGGTTCATTGTGCTGCAGGAAGCTCGGGACAACCGCACACTGCTAGGCGTCGACTTCTTGCAGAAAGCAGGTGTGGTTATAAATATGCCCCAGTACACATGGTCCTTCATCGACGAACCAGACAAGCAGTACGAACTATATCCAGAAGAATTTACTATTTTTGAGTCTACTGTCATCCAGGAACTAATGATCTTGCCCAGCCCACTCAGCGAGATTACAGTGACTGACAGTGAAGATGCTGCTAGCCTGACTAACACTATACCCACGCCTCCATCGACCCCTCCTCCAGCGGTAATGACCACGGGTGAAGCAGCAACCCCTACCACAGATCCACAAGCGTCTCAAGACTATAAACTGGCGCTAATTGACCTAACGTCTACACCACCAAACAAGAAGAAGCCTCGACTGTTCGACGGGTACTCTCCAAGCTTCATGGACTTCATGATGCGAGACGCTCAAATAAATGTCCATAGAGAAAGCGCCGAGCTGTCACCAGACAGTAGTAGACTCTTTGATGCAAACAATTGGGACGTTCGCATAGACTCTATTGATGTGGTGTTACTTACTCCGGACCAGGATAAGCTAGTTAATCAGCTGCTGGAGAAGAACAAAGATGTTTTCAACACGAAGCGAGAGCCTACAAAAGTGATTGATCACACGATTAAGACGGTGGATGACAAACCAATTTCGGTGCCCCCGTACAGATTATCACCACCTCGAAAAGAAGCTCTGCAACGAGAGATTAAAGAAATGTTAGCGGATGGCATCATCCAACCATCTGCGTCACCATGGGCGGCCCCTGTAGTACTGGTGACGAAGGCTAACGGGACGATACGAGTCTGTATAGACTATCGCCGACTCAATGCGATAACTGTACCCGATCCATATCCAATACCAAGGATTGATGATCTCCTGCACGAAGCAAAACCAACGCCTTACATGTCCCTGCTAGACTTGAAAGCTGGGTACTGGCAGATTGGCGTTAAAAAAGAAGACCAAGACAAGACAGCATTCATCACTCCTTTTGGCGTGTACAAATTCACCCGCATGCCATTTGGACTACGGAACGCTCCAGCAACGTTTCAGCGACTCATTGACCGCATGCGAGTAGGTATGCCAGACGTGAAGCTGTTGGCATATCTGGATGACTTGGCCGTATTCTCGCAAACGTTTGAGCAACATTTAGAAGATTTGCAAAAGGTATTCGACAAGCTAAAAGAATTTGGCCTTACTGCAAATCGAGGAAAATGCAATTTCTGCTGTTCCACCATCAAATACTTGGGACACTATATCACGCCAGACGGTTTGCAAGTAGACCCTAAGAAAACTGCAGCCATCGCAGAGCTACCCGCGCCCTCCAACCTGAAACACTTAGTCGCATTTTTGCAGACTTGCTCGTGGTACAGGAGATTCATAGAGAACTTTGCGAAGATTGCCGAACCCCTGACTCGCTTAACGAAGAAGAATGTTAGTTGGGAGTGGACAGAGGAACAGCAAAACGCCTACAATGAGTTGAAATATCGTCTATCTTCAGCTCCAATTTTGAGACAAGCCAATGAAACCGAACCATACGTCATCAAAAGCGACGCCAGCTCTTACGCTATAGGAGCAGTTTTGGTCCAGGGGGAGGCTGAAGACGAACATCCTGTGGAGTTTGCTAGTCGTCTTCTGACATCCGCTGAACGGAATTATACAACTACCGAAAGAGAGGCGCTTGCTGTTGTGTGGGCAGTATCAAAATTTCGCGGATATATCGAAGGGCTGCCTGTCACCGTCATCACGGACCATCAAGCCCTGAAATGGCTCATGTCACTAAAGACGCCTACTGGTAGGCTGGCGAGATGGGCCCTACAGCTGCAAGCGTTCGACATTACCATTAAATATGCCCCTGGGAAAACGAATGTCGTCGCTGATTTCCTCTCCAGACCGCCGTGTAATAAGGAGACAGTAGGAGCTTGTGGTATCTGTGCAGTAACCATTG